TAAATCTTCCTATGCCTTTTGCCATTACACTAGCTTAATCTTTGGGTTTTTTCAATTGATCAGAAGCAAAAGATGAATGTTTCATTCTCCTTTGAAAACAGTTTATCATCCTGCTAGATGGTACTGTGACGAAAAATTCAACAAGAGTCAGTAGGTAAGTTTGCAAATCACTTTTCTGTTTAATTGTTACCTTGACAGGTCTGTGGGCATTACGCATGCTGCCGAAGCGGAAGACGATAAACGCGATGAAGACGAGGGCGTCCGATACAGAGTTCAGGAATCCCATGTAGTTGATGAACGTTCCGATGTCAGCTGGAATCAGCATCACCAGTGCTAATGTCATCTGCAGATCCATAGAGGTGTCCAGTTGTTAAACATCTGGCCCTGTCGGGTTTTTGTCTTTGCTTTTGTGTGGTTTGTTTGTTTATTGTTGTTGTTGTTGTTTTGTTTTTTGTTTGTTTTGAGGGTTGTTTTGATTTGTTTTTGCATTTTAACCATATCAGGAACGCATTTATTACCAGCATCTGAGGTGCAGCGGTTAAGCACGTTGCCATGGCACACAGAGCACTAGAGTTTGATTCATGTGTGAAGAGAGATTATATCGAGTATTTCGATATATTCTACTATAAAAGTGTTTCCCTTTGAAGCCAGCTTGGCCCTGCAAAGCAAGTTCCAAGCCCATCTTCTATGTTCTAAACTGTCTCTATGGGGGTATAAAAACACTTGGGCCTACATTCTAAAACCATGTAGAGACGTAGGCTTATTTGAATATTTAAAAAGAAGAAAGAAGAAAAACCTGCAACTGAATTCAGACTATATTTGCTTTTTGCCGATTAATGCAAATGCCATCTGTAGATCCAAAGAGAAGTCCAACTTGTAAACATTAAGCCCTGTCGCGGTTTTTTTTTTCATCTTAATCATAATCAGGAACGTATTTACCGGCGTCTGTAGTGCAATGGTTAAGTGCTTCACAGTGGCGAACAGGGCACCTAAGTTCGATTCCTGTGCGGGGAGAATTTCTATCGATTATCTCGGTCTTTCAACTGAAAGGTTGTTGCTTTTTCAGCCCAATTTGGCCCTGCCAGGCAGTGTCCAAGCCCGTCTCTTAAATGAACGAACTTGCCTATGTACCTATGTACATGAGCCTACATTTGTTTAATGTTTAGAGACGTTTTTGACTATTTAAATAGAAGACAGAAAAAGAATTGAGAATTCCGATAATAATATTTGCTCTGTGCCGATTAACATAAGCCTTTATGGGAGAAAGCCCCTCTTAATCATGGGAGTTGTAAACTGCATCGTGTATTTGTTATAAAAGAGACTTCAGTTTAAAGAGAAAAATTTAAAAGAAAAAAACTCAAGATGCACGTAGAACTGAACAAAGAGAGATGAGACTAGGCATGGAATGTTTTGTTTTTTTTAAGAAATGTTTTTCAAGGCGTTTCGCTTCAATGTTGTCTTTGTGTTGCACAGCTATTTGTAGGTTCATTGTACCGGCGTATGTGGTATAGTAATAAGGCACTTCGCCATCCCATGCAAGAGACCAGAGTTCGATTCCCGTGAAGGGTTAATCTTTTATCGAGTATCTCGAGTGCGTCTGCTGAGACGTTGCATCACTCTCAACCTGGGTTTGCCCTCATAGGCAGGGTCGAAGCCTGCGCCCTAAAAGATCTCAATCGCGCCGATTCTAAAAAATAATAAGTTCTCATCCCAATGTTGATCAGTTTTTTCCTCATAACACTAATACGTTTCTTGCCGTTGTCTTGCCGGATCGCGTGAAAGCACCTTTCATCTTTTTTTGTTATTATTATGACTATTTTGAAGCTTGGTGTAGGTTGAGACTCACGTCAACTATCATAGCGCAGAGTGGAGTCAGTGTGCCAACCTGGAGGTAGCTCAATGCATCAGGGATGTTCCCGTCACGAGCCGCTGCGAACGAAATCCTGACAAGGAAAGAGAGATCATGTCGTCGCAAGCCGTTATAATATACTAAGCTCAGAAAGCAAAATGTTACAGGAAAGAGAAAAATATATTTCATTCTTTTAATAATCATACCTAAATTATGTATTTTTTCTTGGGTTTTTTTTTCATCTTTCAACGTTTAGAATTTGAATTTCAGCAAAATATTCCTTGAGCACATGCAGCCAGTACCAGATGTCAAGACACTGCAATAGAAAATTTTTAAAAACCCAACATAATGGGCTTAGTATATTTTAACAGTTGGTCTAAATAACATCGTCAAGGCTCTCTTCATTTGATAGAAACTCCTTCATAGAGCATTAGCCTATTTATTATTCATCAGTCATGGTGCCATGGTTGTATCTTCAAATGTAGGACACATTGGTCCTTGCTATTTAGGCATGACATGTTGGTATCATGCAGACAATATTCATATCTGCCGACTTCTAAGGAGCAGCTTGCAGTTTGTTAAATATTTACTCCCTGCTGTCAATCTTAACTCTTAGAGGACGCAACGGGCACATAGGGTCGCGTTGCCGCACATTCGAATGTTGTATATTATTTCATAGTAGTAGTAGTAGTATCATTATCATAACCCTTACCTACTTGAATGGTACACAGAGGTGTTGGCAGAGCCCAGGGTAGAGATGACAACGGTTATAGGTATGATGACGGCCATTTTCCCCAGCACTCGATCACCCCACAGCTGTGTTCGTTCCAGTGTGAACAGGTGAGGGGTCAAGAGAGAAAGAGGGGAGGGGGAGGGGGAGAGAGAGGGGAGGGAGAGAGAGGGGAGGGAGAGAGAGGGGGTGGGGCGGGGGGGGGGGTAGAGGAGGGGGTCATACAGAGAGAGGTCAGGGTAGAGGGGGGATGGGGGAAGAGAAAGGAAATAAAAAAGGGGTGAGGGTCATTTAAAGAGGTGAGGCGAGAGAGGACAAAGAGAAAGGAAACAGGGTTGGAGGGAGGGGTTAATATGATAATAAAATCAGTAAATTGACAGATGATATCCTCGTGAGACATTTACATTACCCAATCTGTATAGTATAGTGCATATATATAAACCGCCTTAACCTATTTATCGAGTACCTCGGTCTTTCTTCCGAGACATTTTACCCCTCTCAGCCTGTGTTGGCCCTGATAGACAGGGTCGAAGTCCGTTTCTTAAATAATCTAAACTGTGTAGATTGCGGCGTAAAATGCCTACATTTAATATTCAGTGATATATAAATGAACAAGAACAGCAGCAGTCAAAAACAAGATCGGCAGACTCCGTTGTGTCAGCTAAATCAATGTGGGGGAAATAAGTTTCCACAATGAATATAACTCGACTCCTTCTACACTATAATCTCTTTGCCTCGGTTACCTCCCTTCTTATATAAACGCGTTCCCTGACAGACAGATCGACATCCAGGTTGAAAACGGAGAGAAACATGGGGACAGAGAGAAAGAATGAGAGAGAGAGAGAGAGAGAGAGAGAGAGAGAGAGAGAGAGAGAGAGAGAGAGAGAGAGAGAGAGAGAGAGAGAGAGAGAGAGAGAGTCTGTGTTGTATGCACACGCCCACGCGCATGAGTCAGTGACACAGAAAGACATGCAGACAATGTGACTTATTTTTTTTCCTTCCCAGCACTCCACTCCTCCCTGCGACTCACCACAGCCACAGCGTCTGCCTGGAGCAGCTCAGCCCGTGACATGACGGCCAGGTAACTGATGTTGGTCAACAGGTAGATGGCCATGACCGCTATGACGCCGAAAATGGCGGCAAGGGGCAGCGTCCTGGAGCAAACAACAGAGGCGTGTATCTATCTATCTATCTATCTATCTATCTATCTATCTATCTATCTATCTATCTATCTATCTATCTATCTATCTATCTATCTTAAGGGGGGAGGGGGGGTTACACCTGAAGGCTATCTCGCTTATAAGCTGGTCAAATTTTACCAAATTTCCCACATATAACAAGCATAAAAGCCGCAATCAAATCTGACAAAAAAGTTTTGTTTCCATAGCTACGGCGACCATATTTGATTTTATTGACATGTCTTATGTAATGAATACCGAACTCATTTTTTAATGGAAATAGATTGTTTTGGTGGTGGGTTTTTTTGCACACATGTTAACAAACATTAGATCTACAGATTTGTCTGTTGAATTTTTCCTAAACAAATTAGAAGAATATTTTAAGAATTTTTGCGTGAAATAGTATTCAAGTTTGCTTTTAAAAAATCCGTGAAAATCAATACTCCAGACACCACCAAGAAAAATCTATTCCAAATATCAAAAATTCAACACCCAAATTGTTAGTATTGTACCTTCTCTTCATTCTATGAAAATGTCATGAAGATTGGATGAAAAATGGTGGAGTTATTCAAAAAAGTATATAGAAAAACCGCATTTTGAGAGAGCGGGTGATAAAGAAAATAAAAAGGTTGACTTTAGCAGGAAATGGTGAAGACTAACATGCCCGGGATGGGAAGAAATAAGGCCTTTGGGGGTTCTAATGCTATGAAATAGTTGTAGGAAAGAATGAAGAAACTAAATATGTCTATAACTCAAAACCCATAATTTTCAGCTGGGTCGAGACTTTTGGGGGTGTAGCCCCACCTTTTAATGTGTGGAATGATTTTATGCTCCCATAGACGCAATTTGGATCATGATATCATTTAGGAGGCGGGCTGTGCTCGACACTGCCTGTCAGGCCCAGCTGGTGCTGCATGGGATAAGACACGGCAGCGGAGAGACGAATATCTTAATACTTAATTTAACCAAGACAAAACGTCACCACGATGCTGGAATCGAAATCCTATCCTTTTGGTGTAGCAAAAAAGAACCATTGCATGAATGATTAACACACAAATGAATGGATAAACATTTAAACAAAATTCAAAATCAGTATTTTTATAGATCAGTAGGTCAGGCATAAAGTCAACAATCTCCATAAGAACCCAAATAATGAATACATTGATATTTTTGTTTCATTATATCTAAGGATAATACAGTGAACAATTTTTGCCTAAAGAAAAGAAAAGGAAATAACAAAGGTACCTTGAGGGTCTTTTTATTTCCTCGACCACACTGTTGACTGATTCCCTGTGGACACAGGAAAGAGCCACAGATTACCAAAAAAAACAAAAAAACTTTCGGGCGTTGTGGAAAAAAAGCAAAACCGTTTATCTTCCTTTACACTGTTCTTATGCGTGCACACCAAAGCAAGAAGTTGTCTTTGAGATGTGCAAGACATTGTCTTTTATAATGAAAGTTGCTGTGCTTTTCAAAACGGACGCTTGAGTTCGAAGTTGGTGACTTGATGAACGAATGCATTCTCCTCCACCAATTCAGTAAACCGGCGAGGGGTTGGAAAAAAAGATGGGGGGGGGGGGGTCATCCGGTTTGACTCGTATACATCGTTTGCATAAATATTTTCCATCTCTACAGATTGGAAACATCCAACATCAGCTGAATAAACTAAAGAAAATACGTGTATACTTGAATGCTGTGGAGGATACAATGTCAAACTTTGCAAGGCTTGGAATCAAACCCACTTCTTATTATTCGATAACATGTTTAGATAAATAGACACAGATTGAATGTGTTTTTAAAAAAACAGAGAGAGAGAGAGGGGGGGCAGAGAGAGAGAGAGAGAGAGAGAGAGAGAGAGAGAGAGAGAGAGAGAGAGAGAGAGAGAGAGAGAGAGAGCGAGCTAAAAAACCAGTAGGTTTACGGCTCATGAGTTGCTGCAGGGAAAAGATGTTAAGCGCCTCTGGCAAAGGCCAGAGCAAAAAGACATACAAACAATAAACAGACAAATAAATAGAGAGTAGGTTGGACTAGGAGCGCATAATTGTTTAAATATCTACTTCGTAAAAAAGAAAGAAATTTGACGCTAATCACAAAATAATGCGGGGGGAAAAAAAGAGAAAGACTGTCTACCACGCACAATGTGGAATGCTTGCAATGAACCACTGTAAGCAAAAAACAAAGCATAATATTCATGCCAATGCAGTGTTATACTACACCCAAATTTTGGGTGCAGAATAACAAATGCTATTATACACCCGAATGACGCATGCGCAGTTTGTTCTTTTTTCCGTTCTCCGTTTCCGCTGTGAGAAACACCTGCGACATGTTTAAAGGGAGCCAAATTCTAATTCATGGCAAGAATTTCTACAGAAGTTGGAAGAATTTGAGGGCGAACACAGAATATTCTGTTGTCTTCATAAATTCAACCAAATCAACGACGGACGATAAATCCCGAAAGCGTTCAAAAACAACTAGCCTACTACTACACCACTACCACCACCACCACCACAACAACAACAACAACAACAACAACAACAACAACAACAACAACAACAACAACAACGTCTACTACAACAACAACTACAACAACAACAATGACGACAACAGAAGAAGAAGAAGAAGAAGAAGAAGAAGAAGAAGAAGAAGAAGAAGAAGAAGAAGAAGAAGAAGAAGAAGAAGAAGAAGAAGAAGAAGAAGAAGAAGAAGAAGAAGAAGAGGAAGAAGAAGAAGAAGAAGAAGAAGAAGAAGAAGAAGAAGTAAACAACAACAATAACAACAACAGCAACAACAACAACAATCACTACTACTACTACTACTACTACTACTACTACTACTACTACTACTACTACTACTACTACTACTACTACTACTACTACTACTACTACTACTACTACTACTACTACTACTACTACTACTACTACTACAAGGTTCGTAGAGTATGTCCACCTCACAGAATAAAGGAAATCGTAGAAATCACAATGGGTGAGGAGATCCAGCTAACCAATCACAGCTGGGTGGACCGAAAAAATATCGGAGCTGCCATGAGAATAAAACCCATGTCATTGGTGTGACAGGTCAGGTCAGTGTTCTACTGACTGATCTACTGGGATCCCTCCCACCCCCGCCTTCATTATGTTATGGAACCGAGAAATCTCTTTCAAATTCAATCTGAAGACCAATGCAACCCAACAAGTTGCTATATCCCACAATAACAACAACAGCAACAACGGCGTCGGTGGCCTAGCGGTTATGCTCTCGGACTCGCAACCGTAAGGTCGTGGGTTCGAATCCTGTCAAGGGCCCGACGTTGTGTCCTTGAGAAAGGCACTTTACACGAATTTTCCTCACTTCACCCAGGTGGAAATGGGTACCCGGCTATAGACAGCGAAAGATCTTGTCAGTTTGTTAGTGTTTGAGCGCTTAATCGGCTGCTTGCACTGTATGCTTCCCGGGAAGCTGAGAATGTTTCGTAGTGTTCTGTGTAAAGCGCATAGAGCCTGCTGCTGAGCGGGGATATGCGCTATACAACTGCTATCTATTATTATTATTATTATATTTTGTTTGAGGACCACGCACCTGATATGGGTGGGGGGGAGGGGGGTTATTTTTATTTTGCACTCAGTTTTCGGTTGTATAAAAACGTTTGTTATTATACATCCGAATTCTGGGTGTATTATACCAATTGTCATTCTACACCCAAAATTTGGGTGTATAATAACGTTTGTTTCTGCGTCCTTATGCCAATGGCAAGGCTAAGAGACAGACAGACGGGCGGAGATATATATATAAGCATATGCGCCAACCTCAGAAAGCACAGAAGAAGAAATAGAGAAATTTTATGATGAAATAAACCAAGCAAAGACACATTGTAAATCACAAGATATTGTCATAGTCATGGGTGATTTTAATGCAAAAGTGGGAACAACAAGACATGAAGACATAGTGGGTCCATATGGACTGGGAAACAGAAATGAAAGAGGAGAAAAACTGATAGAATGGGCCATCCTGAATGACATGATTATTGGAAACACTTGGTATGAACAACCACCAAGAAGATTATGGACCTGGAAGAGTCCTGGAGACAGCGCTCGCAACCAGATCGACTATATCATGATCAAGAAAAGATACAAAAACGGGATGCTAAATGTCAAAACGCGGCCAGGTGCAGATTGTTACAGCGACCATATATATATATATATATATATATATATATATATATATATATATATATATATAAACAGACAAGGAGGCGTCTTCATGAGACAATATGATAGTGGGAGGTTGGCGGCTGTTCTGGTGTGATTTGCTTCTTCTTTCCTAACAAACGTCTATCGTTCTTATCTCACCGTCTTTTTTGGGGTTTTGTTACTCTCTTGTAACACTTCTAATTTTCGACACTTAGGCCTACATGACCTTATTGTGTCGCAAGTGCCTTAATACTCTTATTAAAACTAAAAGACAATGTAGTAACACGTACGATCCGCTGTAAGCAAAGGACGCGCTGTAGATGGCCAGAGCCAAGGCAGAGGGGTCCTGTGATGTTCCCTGGAAGCCCGAGCCTAATTCACTCACAGTGCCTGTGGAGATAGATGGTGCAGATAAAGAGGGTGAGAATAGGTAGTGGTGGAGGGGGGGGGGGGAGAGAGAGAAGGGAAAATAAAAGGGGGACGGGAGGAAATTATGAGAATTTGGATTATGTTGATTTCGGGATATTATGTGTTTTTGTTTGTTTGTTGTCTTTTTTGGGTTGTTTGTTGTTTTTGTTTTGTTTATTTTGGGAGGGATTGCTGTTTTTCTTTTCCTTTTTTTGTTATCATAAGCTAATGTTCATGGAATGACAGTCTCTCTCTCTCTCTCTCTCTCTCTCTCTCTCTCTCTCTCTCTCTCTCTCTTACTCTGTTACTCACGCATTTCTGTGTATATATTCACTCATAATAACGCTATGTTCTTTTTTTATTCCTCTTTTAGAAAAGGAAAATCAGTCGAAAAACGTCGTGGACGGCCACCCATTATCGACAAGAAAAGTGGCCGTCTCAGACAGGTGGCAGTTTTAAAAAACGCCAGGAGGAGATGGGAAGTGGCCGTTTGTACATGCGATGATAATCTATTACAGGTGGCCGTGAGAGCAAGTTCGACAACACAGTATGGCCAATGTTCAATGAACGTTTTAAAAGTCAAATTTTGTGGCGTTGGTATCCTTGTAGTCAGGCTACTGGACCCGCAATCGTGAAACGGCAGGTTTGGTGATTCGAGCCTCAGCTCAGTCGGACGTTGGGTCCTAGGGAAAGGTACTTTGCACGAATTTCTTATTTGACTCGGTGCTTTCGGAGATGGACGTTAAACTTGGAAGTCCCGCTTCTTAAATAACCTACTAGTGTTGATATGGGCATTTAACTTATACCAACTTCATTATTTCTCCAATGGTTTCAGACCTAGGTTGCATAGGATGTTTCTTTCAATGCCATCGGGAGTGAAGATCTTGTTCAATTTGGCATTCAGGTCTGTTTCTTGGGTTGTTTGTTCATTGGCATTCGTTCATTGTTGTGGTTAGCCCTAGATCAATCAGTCTGTAGTCAGTTTCACATTCTGCACCGCCCATGGAGCGAGTGACTGTGATACTACTTATGTCTAGAGTTTGAGGTACCAACTCTTACATAACCTAATAGTATTGAAAGGGCTTAACTTCTACCTTTTCACCAAGTCAAAATAATATGCTGTTCTACCTTGGGAAATAACGATGAAGCCGCCGATAATGATAACGACGAGCGCAGAGACTTTGGCAACAGTAGTGACGATCATGATCCGGGCAGAGTATCGAGTGCTGTAAGTATTTACGATACCGAGTGTGACTGGGGAGAAAAGGGGTTGGGGGTGGTAGTGGTCGTGATTTGAATAATTTGTACATTGTGTTACGTACATGGTAGTGATATCTCGCACTAATTTAATAGGCAGTAAAACAAAAGTTGTTGTTTTTTCTTGTGTTCCACCTCGCCACTTATCCCACTTCCGTTAAATTCCAATGCTATTTCTAATTTTCCGACAGGTGATTACGTAGCAACTTTCTCATTCTCAAAATTATATCTCCCTGACTCTCTTTCCTCTCCTCTCTCTGTCGCTCCGCCTATCTGTCTGTTTATCTGTCTGTTCGTCTGCCTGTCTGCCTGTCTGTCTGTCTGTCTGTCAGTCTGTCTGTCTGTCTGTCTCTCTCTCTATCTCACCCCCCCCCCATATACGTCATCATTT